GTTTTTAGACTACTGTTAGACTATTTTATACAAATAGGCTACCTAAAAACCATTGTAGCGTCTGCGTAAAATCACATGCAGAAACTAAAAAATAATTTTTTTCTATTTAGATATTTATTTTGTTAAATCATTATAATGAGCCCAAATTAATGGTCTGGTTTCTACAACTTTCACTTTGGAGCAAAAATCTGGCTTTAAACTTGAAAGAAATAAAGATTTTACATTTATTGTGATAATTATCGATATCGACTGATATGAAAAAAAAAATAGTGATAATTTTTTTGGCCATATCGCCCAGCCCTACTTTTAGGTACTGATATGTACCTCTAAGGTATGCACCATTTAGGTACAAAGGTGTACCTTGTGAAAAGGTACCGACCCAGTGACAGCTTTTGCACCATTTTTTTTTTTTTGGAGAGGGTACAAACAATTATTTAAATGAGAAAGACAGAGACCAAAAACATCACAAGCCTTTTGATCAAAAACCTTGTAAAAACGGTAATATTGTGATATTTTATTACATTTTAAAATAGCTGTTTTCTGTTAGTACCTATATACTTTAAAGGGGTCATATGATGCGATTTCAATTTTTCCTTTCTCTTAACCCTTTAAGATATAATTTATTCCTGTGATGGCAAAGCTGAATTTTCAGCAACCATTTTGGTGCTCAAAACACATTTCTTATAAAATTATCAATTAATTATTAATTATCAATTAAAACAGTTGTTCAATTTTTTTTTGAAATCGTGATTTTTTAGAACCTATTTTTCCAGGATTCTCTGATGAATAGAAAGTTTCGTAACATTTTTACATTTGTGATATTTTTACTGTCACCTTTGATCAATTATACGCATCATTGCTGAATACAAGTATTCGGCTAATTTCTTTGGCTAATGGAACTGATCCTAGACTTTTGAAATGTAGTGTAATGTAATGTAATGCATTTTGTCCAAATAGACAAATATTTTTTGCCATCAGTGGAGAAAGATACTCTACAAAGCCATACTGTGTAGTTGCAGCATCTACCAGCAGGGGCTAAATGGGCTATGCTAACCTGCTAAACCTTAAGTGGACACAACAACAAGCCCGCAATTCATAGTTAGAAGTTAATACTCATTTCACATGTAAAGAAGTCATTTAGATAAAAGATAAAAGTACAGCATAAAATAGCCTATTTCCAAGAATGTGAAAGAAGATAGAAAATGTAGCCTATTAAAAAAAATGAAATGTTATGACCCCTTTAAAAACAGATCCATCATCTGGATCCCATCCAGACAGTAGGTTAGGGGGGTTTGTGTGTGAATGTGAGTGATGTGGATTGGTATTTGCATCTATGTTGCTGAATGTTCATTTTGCACAAAGCAGCAGCACAAAGGGGCTCTGTTCATGCCGTCAGCCGGTCTCGCTCGCTCTCTTGGGCCCTCACGCTATCACACCACCCTGTAACACTTGTGACCACCGCTGCTCTGCCCGGTCACTCATTCCAAACCGTTTTTCACATTTTAACTACACCGATTCTTAAACTGTCATATCAAATGGCAGTTTATTTATTTAACCATCTTGAACAATTTAAATCTTGATCAACAGAGCAGCTTACACAATATTATTTCATATTGATTCATATCACAAGAAGGCTTCATCAGAATGTGAAGGTATGCAGGGCTCGCAAAATCGCTAGCCCGATGTTTTCCAGTCGGGCTACCAAAATGTATCACCACTCTGCCCGACGGGCTCTCTTAAATACAGATCTCCTGCGGGTCCTTAAAAAATCCTAAAGTGAGTTGTATCAAACTTAAGGCCATAAAAAGTTTTAAACACATTAAATGGTATAAGAAATGTCTTAATTATAATTTGATGTCATTGAATAAATATGAGCGCTGCACGTTTCAAGTCAAAACGTGGCGCGGATGGCTTTATTTGAATGTATCTGAAGGTAACCGACTGTCCTCAGAAACGTGTCGTTGGCATTTTAATTTTATTTGACCTATAATTCCTTATAAAGCAACGTTTATGAGCGCGGAGCTGCTTTGTGTACAGGCGTTACCGGGAAAACCGCAATATTTCAGCGCTCCTAAAGCGCCACCTCGTGGCAGAGAATGAATTTGCATTTCCAATAAGCCTTTCTCGCTGTTTATGGTCAAATCAATGCAAATATCAACTCGTGTTTTTATGCAGCAAACACAGAGTTGTAAATGAGAAAGAAGTTAATGTGCCTTCTAAAAATCTAAACAATTAAGACAATAAGACAGTAATATTTATATATTATATATTATATTTTTAAATTGACATAATTTATATACTTGATTTATCCCTTTTCATAAAAATGGTCTAAAGGCTGAAATACTGTTGTATAAGATTTTTTTTTTGTGAAAACATGTATCTGAACTACAAATCATGTAATTTTATGGCTCAACACTGTATGTTACCACAGACATTGTCCAACCCCACTCATACTGTGTTCATTTTACTTGTGCAGCTCTTAAAATGGGTCATAAATGGCCTTAAATTTATTTTAAAAAATTCTGCAGATACCCTGTAAATAGTGAAATAAAATTCCTTCCTTCATATTTGTTGATATTTGTGTATTGAAAATGTTTTTGATTGACATTTAAACTCCTATCTGATTTTCTATATTTAAAAAAAATGTCTTTTTTTTAATTTGGGCTAGTTAAACTAATTTTCGGGCTACCAAAATGTGAAGAGTACCTGCCCGAAGGGCTACCAGGGATTTTGAAATTGTGCGAGCCCTGGTATGATATGACATTTCCCATAGACTGTTGTGAAAAATGCCCCTTTTTTAACATAACAGATGTAACCTAAGGAAAATACCTGTTTAAAAGTACAGACACGTGTAGTTTTTGTTGTCATGTATGAGTCTAATGGGGTTTTATTCTATATTTGGGGGCTCCATCCACCTCATAAACCCTCACCGATTTGGCCTTTACATGCATTACATGATGGAGCGGTATCTTTGCAGTAGCGTGATTGAATCAAGTTACATACTTGGGAACTTTCTGTCTGAACATGTTCAACCATGATCTTGTACTTTCTACAAACATTTAACCCAAGTAAACCACACAAAAAAACAGCCATTCCCCTCTACTGCAGTTAAAGTGACATATAGGTGAAGTCAAGTTTCAGTATTGAAACACCAACCCCTCGTGGTCCAGAGGCTTAGAAAGAACATTAAAGCACAAACTCGCCCACGAGACCCTCAGGGAGAGAGAAGGTCGAGTGCATCTCTCTCTTTTACCCTGGGACTGCCTCGCATTATACATCTGTTGGCTTTCCACAGCCCAGTGCACATGAATGGCTCGTCTCTCTCTCGCTCAGACACGCACACATAAATGCAGACAGACACTGCAACACAAACACACTCACTACAGGAAGTCACACGATATGAACTCTGATCCACATCCTGCCTCTGCTATAATTAAGGATCTGTGAGGACAGACAGATTGGCTGAAGAAGAACATAACAATAAATCTCGTCTGATTTGGCTTTCAATATCTGCACAAAGCCTCGTTGACTTGTATTATAATCTACACCAATAGATTGATGCACCAATAGGCTACTAAAATTCAGGGCCAATCCGATATTTATTTTCATGTTATGAGCAATAACCAATAAATGGCCAATTAAAAAAATTAATATTATTTTATCTAAATAAATTAAAACACAAAATATCGCAACTCAATGGATATTCATTTTGAGATCTGTTAAAGATCCCATGTAATTGGGCTATTAACCTTTTTAAAGATTACTTTAAGTGAGTGTTGAGGGCAAAGGGAATCTAACTTAAAAAGGGGAAATGATTATGCACAATTAAATATACAATACTAATTTCTATATATATCCAACATTGACAATACACCAAAAAATGTTCCTATCGGCCAATAATCAATTTGGTAAAATATGCTACTATCAAACTCTCGATTGACAAACAAAGAGGAGACTCTCGTTTGCATTTTTCCTTCTGGAAAAACAAGAGCACTGGCAAATCAGAATCTGTATTTGGGTAGGTGTATTTGTGCAGGTGTATTTGTGCACACATGTCTGACAACGAGAGCACTCCATGTGCCCGGCAGGACTGGTGGAAAGAGTTCACGATATGCGTGTGCGCGTGTTTGTGTGTATGGCAGCTGAATCACTGAGCCTCAACTCCCTGTGTCAGCAGCAAAGAGCTGAGGGGAAAGACTGATGCTCCTGCATCATGAGAGAAAGAGAGAGAGAGAGAGAGAGAGACAGCGAAATAAAGAGTTGACACTGTCAGGCAGTACTGCTGAAAGCACTGCCTGCTGCTTGCAATCACGGACTAGACAGCACTCCTGCTCTTTTCTCTCTCTCTCTCTCGTTCTCCATTTCCCTCAGGAAACCTTATTATCAACATCTCCCTTCTGCCTGCACTCACACACAAACACTAATCTCACATCAACACACACAGACAGAAAAACCACAAGCCAGACCCACTCTAGCCAGCCAGAGTGCACCTCCCACTATCCTACGGTTGGCCTGACCCACATCTTGTTATAGCCTTAAGTACGCTTAGCCCCAGTAAGTCCTGAACACTATTGCAACTCCTAATCGGCTGCTACAGTACCTGTCTGCAGGCCCTGGACAGGAGGAGCTGTGAATTATTTAATGGAGTCTGTCTGTCTTGTCCTTTCTCTTTCAGTACAGTTGAACACTACAATATAGCCTGTTGTCAAAGTAGTCTGTTGACTGCTTGGCAACATTCCAGTGGTCATTTCAATTATCTCTCATCCATGTCATTAACTTGTATATTTCCCGATGGAGATAAACCAACAACAACCACAAAAACTCTGTTGCATAATATATCATTCACTTCCCTTCAAAATAAGCTCTGCAGAGCTGATAACTGAAACTAAGGGCTCAAAGCTGTAATCTCTGACTCACTCCAACATCCCAGCACTGAACCTTTAAAGCCATCAAACAATATAAGACACCTTTGGAAGAGATATGAGAACAGATTCTCTCACCTGTGCGTTGTAAACCACTGGCACATCCTCCATGCCTTCCTCATCCTTGAGATCCTCTTCTTGGTCATTCTCTAGTCCTGCCATTACCCAAGAGTGATTGGAGTTCTCTTCCTGGTCTAGTGCCTCCAGCTGAGGCAACAGCTCATCGCCTAAAAGGTCAGGAGCATCACCCAGGTCAAGTCTGTGACTGTGTTGCTCTCCAAGCAAGACCTCCTCCAGTGCCTGAAACCCATTACTGCTGCTCTGGTTTGTAACCAAAGGTCCAGCCGCATCATGGTTCCTTCGCTCTGCCGTAGAGAATGGACAGTCTGCAGCGAACGAGTTCAGACCATCTGGGAACACCTTACAAGAGCTGAAGGGATCCTGGTTTGATTTGGAGCTATTTAAGGGGCACCGTTGTGCCGGGCTGTCTGGTATTTGGACTCGTTGCTGCTGATGTTCCATTCCAGAATTAGACCGAAAAGGACAACCAGTATCCAAAAGGTTTGAAGCTGATGATGGGATGGCCGTGGAAGAGGATGTCATAGAGACTGGAGCAGAGGAGTAAGACTGGGTTGCATTTACTATAGGGGGAGGCTGACCAGTCAGAGTATAATGAGCAGTAGGATAGGATGAAGCGCGGCTAACTGAGTCAGTTGGGAAAGAATGGGTTGCAGGGGAAGACTGGACAGGGAAGGCTAGGTCATTGTCTTCCAACCTTGGACCTGTAGTAAAACCTTGGACCTCTTGGGCTATTTGAAAGCCACTGTGTTGTTGAGAAGACACAGGCATCATTGATGCCTCAACCGTAGAGTGAAAGGGACTACCCTCCACACTGAGCGAGTTATGGTGGCCGTGCTGGGAATGATTTTGAGGGACGTTGCTCTCATAGTAAAAACCTGTATGTCCCTGATAGGTCTTGCTAATATGATGCAAGCCTTGATGGGCAATTTGTTGGTGAGGGAGTTGCAGCTGGTTTGAGATTGGGTGTTGATTGAGGCTGTGCTGTCTTTGCTGAAGATGTTGATGTTGATGACTGTACTGCTGATGCTGAGCTTGATGCTGCTGAAACTGTTGTTGCTGCTGAAATTGTTTATGTTGAAGTTGTTGATGATGAATTTGTTGATGGTGTTGATTGTGCTGATGGTAGTTATTCCCTTTTTGATCATGGTTTCCCCACATGGGGCTGTTGTGAAGAAACAGTCCATTGGTCTGGGGCACTTGGTTCATAGTATGCCCTTGAAATGATTGCTGCTGTGGTAAAAATGCTCTTCCGTTGTTGCCAACTCCTTCTGGACCAGGAAAGGACTGTTCCATTGAGGTCTGTGCCTTCATAGTGTCAAAATGCCTCACAGGTTGGTTGTAGGGTATCCCATGTTGGATGGTAGAAGATCTGGACCCTGCATCCACCTGAAGAGGCTCCAAACTAGGACCCAGGTGAAGTTCATCATCCAAGGACACAGAACCAGGGGTAAACCCTGGATCATCCTGGACTAAGCTGTCAAGCCCTCCCCCAAATATGCTAGGGTCATCAAAGAAGTCCATGATGGGGTCGGTCATTGTTTGAGTTCAGTGCATTAAGTGGCTGCCCCCTCAGCGACCCCTACGACAGGACTGCTGAATGCAATAGGGAGCTAAAGACTGTCAGAGTTTGTTGAACCGCTGTGTGTCCATCACCAAGAAGGACTACGGTCTAGAAAAAGAGAAACAAAATAACAATGATATGCAAAACACTTGGGATTCAGAACTATTTTAATAACATTCTGCATACTTTATTGATTAGATGATTAATTAAAACTCATTTTAAAAGAGCTTTGAATCTAAAAACAATGTTTCCACATCATTTCATCGTTGTTCTCTAAACTTTCCTAATAGCTATATGCCAAATTTGACTTAAAGCCTTCAGAGTGTCTTTAGGTATTTAGGTATAACGTCTTTAGGTATACTGCTTTTAAAGGGTTAGTTCACCCCAAAATGAAAATTCTGTCATCTTACTCACCCTCAAGCTCCAAACCCATTCCAAACCCATAAGAACTTTGCTCATCTTCGAAATACAAATTAAGATATTTTTGATGAAATCCGAGAGCTTTCTGACCCTGCATAATGCAACGGACACGTTCAAGGCCCAGAAAGGTAGTAAGGACATCGGTAAAATACTCCATGTGACATCAGTGGTTCAACTGTAATGTTATGAAGCTATAAGAATACTTTTTGTGCTCAAAGAAAACAAAAATAACTTTATTCCACAATTTCTTTTCTTTCGTGTCAGTCTTCGACACGCTTTCACGAGAGTACCACGATGCATGCTGTTGCATGGACTACTTTAACAATGTCCTTACTACCTTTCTGGGCCTTGAACATGGTAGTTGCATTGCTGTCTATGCAGGGTCAGAAATAGGCCTGTCGTAATAATCAACTTGTTTAGGGATCTGTGCCTTTATGCATACTGGACATCTGACTGCTAAGTAGTGATTGTTTTTCACCAATAGTGTACACCCTTAATTTACAGAGAAAATAAAGTCAGGGAAAAATCTGTAGATGGAAAAATCTCCATACAAGTTCTTTGTGCATTTTTCTTTTTTTTTTGTACTAGTTCCTTTGCACTTTTTGTTAGAAAAATGTTTATTTACTATTTATTCAAGTTTTTTTTAAGGTATCTAATATTTTGATACTTAATTTCCATGATCTAAATTTCTTAACAATTAAAAGTTTGTTGTCATTTAGAAGTGTGTAGGCCTTCTTGCATTATTATGCTGTTACATTATGATTATATATTCAGTGGCATAAAATGGTCTTTAAAATTAGGGCTGTGCAATTAATCGAAAAACAGTTTCGATTTCGATTTTGGCCTCCAACGATTATGAAAATACAACAATTGAGATAAAACAATTATTGCGCCCCATTCCGCCCCCTTTTCCAGCACTGCACTTTCGTTCCTCCATAAAAGCCCAATTTCACGTGCAAATCAGTAAAATCATGTAACGTGACTTTTGCAAAATGGGACAACACAGACATGTAAAGTCATCTTTTAGCTCAAGGTGCGCACCTAAACGGTCAAATACACGCAAAAATGTGTCAAAATGCGGCGCTTGGTGATTATTCATGTATACATTCGTCGGTCATGTAATAAATGAACGTAAAGAGTTGAGAATGAAAATAGTGAAGACTATCCTGTTTTATTTTACATTTGATTATTCATTTCTGTAGTAGGGCTGGGCGATATAGCTATATCAACGATATAATGTTTCATATCGTTCGGTATCGATAATTATTGACATTTTTTATAACCTTTTTTTTTAAACAAAGAGCAATAGAATTTTTTTTTTTAATTTAACCACTGTATTTTTAAATTAACCCAATTTATTGAGACAAACAACAAATATTTTTTG